ATATTAGGTGAGCATAATCTTCAGGTCAAGGTTGAATGTCAGGTACCATAATTTTTCGTTCGCGCGACTTAACGTGTGCGTACGCGTGCGTCAACGTTTATATATGCTTAAAACCATGAATAATTTTAATCAGTTATAGCTCCTTAGGATGAAAGGTGACCCCCAATTTTTATTACATATTCTGAAAGCACATGAGTTGTAGATACGATTTTATGGATCATAATGGCTGCTGTCTCTTATACACATCTAGATGTGTATAAGAGACAGTGTAATTAACTTGGTCTAGCCTTGTAATCAAGAACCTGCCGATTACTATGCCTAATATTAATAACTAGCTCATTTTTACATTCATTTGGTGTTTTGCCATTTTGGCAGGTCTTATGGCATCCAGAATTTTAGAGTTGCCTATTCTCAGCTCTTCTCTTAATTTGAAAATAACTGTCATTCTGTTTCATTTGATCAGATGAAGAAAAACGCGCTTTTCCTTACTCTTTGTGCTTTTCCCAGAAAGCGTTTTTAGTAGGCCTAGGTAATTATGCAAAACCAGGCCTCCTACCAACTAAAAAATTAAAATTGTCATAGTATGTAACTCAAGTTAAAATAACACTTTTCATTACTCGTGCAGCTTAATCAAATATTATATAATGTCATTTTAAGCGACTCATTGGTATTAACATGGTAACATAATGTATTTTTAAAAATTAGACAGCGACGTTTTCTCAGAAGTTGTTCTGTAGGCGTTTATCTGTTAATGACCTTTTGACCTCCTGAATTCTGCAATGAGATTTTCGAGTCGATTCAGCCGAGACGGCCCGAGTGGAGTTTCATGTAAATGTTTCGTACGGGAAAAAAAATCGCGACCGGGGCATTTTTCGGTTTGATTCCAGATTGAACTCACTTCACTTTAGTCTACATTAGTTTCTCCATCACTCTCAAGCATGCCAACACCTACATGAACATCATTACCGTTCATCATCATCGTCGACGTCATCGCCATCGACATCATCATCGTCATCATTATTATCACCTTCATCATAACCTTGTTATCATCATCCCCTCATCATAATTATGATCATCATTAATTCACATTTTTTTCTGGACATCAAGGTTTAAAGATGTATTGTCTCTTGAAAATGACAAAAAATCATAAAAATAATTTTGAAATTAACTTGTTCATTTTTGCAGTAGCACACATATTTTTAACTTGAGCAAAGAAATTATTGAATTTCAAAAATGTGTAGAACCCTTATTTTTAAACTGGATAATTATAATACAAATAATGAAACACTTCCATTGACTGGAAGTGTTTTTATCATTTTTCTTTGTAAAATGACGGGTAAACCTTTTTTAAATACACTAATGTTTATATGTTCAAGTTAATAATGTTTATGTTACTTAAAATTTGGCAAGTTAATTTCAAAAATGATTCAGCGGCATTGTGCCCCTATCCACTCAACTGGATCACCTTAATGTTAGTACTCTGTTATTTATTTATTACCAGGGTAGATCTCTCCATGGAAGTATACGTGCATGGTCTGTCTGCATGAATATACTGAAGGTTAACTAAAATTAATGTGTAATCGGTATAAGGCCTACCAGAAGAAACACAGCACTTAACTTATTTTTTTTTTACAATTCTAGTGATAGTATATAACTTCTAAAGCGTGATCAATAACTTATTAATGTTCCATGCCGAACTTTGCAAGAATAATTAAAATTGTACGAGTAGTAGGCCTAATGTTCACAACATGTAGGCTGCAGGTCCATTTGTGTGGCAAATAGTATCCTGTGTTTTAATTATTGCATATTCTGTATATTTGTCATAGCTGAATACCCTCCACAAAATACAATTACAGTATGTTATATTCATTTTTGGTTTATGCATTAGTATGTATTCATGTTTCTTGCTCTTCTGGAAGAATAAGCAACTCAATTTATCTACTTATGGCAATGATAAGAAAAAAAAATTTAACAATATTATTTTCTACAGCTTTACCAGCTGCTATTTCATGGCATCCAGAGGTGCCATATTTCCAACATAGACTTTCATCCATGCTAACTTTATATATTGTGGCTGCCCCTTGAGGGGAAGGGAAAGCAGCTGTAGGTTGCCAGCATCTGTTTCCAGACATTCATAGGCGCCAAACAAGTTGTTTACCAACCATGGTGGGGCTAGAGTTGATATGATAATTGTGACCCAAGACCACAAAAGGGCTGTAAACTCGCATCGACAGGTTTCGAGAAAAAGGGCCAATAGACAGTATAACATGAAATTTGAGCAAAATGTGATTATATCATAAATATAAAGTATTACCTTTAATCTTACTATTTTTGAAGTTTGGGTTCAATATTTCAACTCTAAACCCTAAAATGTAGTAATTTTATGAAGGCCATTCTACGAGAAACGTTTATAAATTCACCAACTTTCAAACCGCCATACTTCGCTTCCAAACAACTTATTCACCTACATAAAATTCAGGCCCTAAAGTATGTTGCGAAAGTATTTGTAGTGCATCGTACCCTGGTACAAAGCATACGTAAATGTATACCTAAATGAAGGAAATAGCCTTGAATTAATTTAAAGAATACTAAACTGTTTCATGACCTGTTGGAAAAGATTTGGAAAGCCCTCTGGCAGTGAAGCGGATCAGAAATGATGTAGATTGCGGTTAAGTACATATTTTAAGAAACTAGTTGTTAAGAAACTTTAAAAAGTGTTGAGGCCAAGAGAACAATCATCTGCACTAAAACGTATTGATGAAGTAGGCTATATTTACACAACGACATACATGATTTGAATGACGTTGTGTAAATATACTTCATCAATAAAACGTATACTAAATAAGTACGGTATATTTACAAAATAGAATTGCTTTAGAAATATATCTTCAAAAGTAATTTTCTAGAGCATAGCACCATGGTACGGACTATCTTTAGTACTAAATGAAGAAAATAACAAAATAAGCTTGAAGTAATTCAAAA